GGCCCTCATTTCTAATCCTGTTTCTTGCAGTAAATCACCAGCTCTCTAATTACCTGTGATGGCTGCGTTCTCACTGCCAATCAAAGCTGTCGTGTACACTGCAAGACACTTTTATTGAGAGTTCAGACCAGCCAGCACTGAAATACTGTGCATGACTTTTCAATTTACAACCCTAATCCTTAATTGTTCTGATGCATCTCCATAAAATCACTGATTCAGGCTTTTGAATTGTGCTTTGCAGCATCCAGAGGGAATGTCACAGGACAGTTTTACACCTCACCTTTGTCCATCATAAATGGGCTCAGGTCCAAAGAAGCCACAGGTGTCTTTGGATTATGTTTATTTATAGTTTCCTCAGTTTTAACATGCATTAGTAGATGACTCATGTTCACTGAACGATGGTTATCAGGGTTGGTTTAGAGCTGATGCGGTGATTTCCACCACAGAGTCATATCATTTTTTACTGCTGTGTTTCCTGAGGGTCCAAAGATCACGGCAAACATATAATAAGATGTAATTTTAATGAAATATAAGCCATCAGAAAATGCTTATTAACATATTACATGTCTTTTTTGAAACTGTAGCTGAATTATCATCCTTAGCTGCAATTATTTTACATGTGAAATCATGTTTTTTTCGCCGTTGTTGATCTAAGCAACCTGAAATGTCAACGCCTCGTCAAATACAGACGCTTTTTTACGACTCTTTGTTGTCTCCTCCCGACACGCAGGGTGTCCCTGCTGGTTTCACACAGGCTCTTTGTTGTGTGTCATGCAGATGCAGCAGATAGCATCTGTTTTGTCTCTGTCTGACACACGTTTAATGCCATATACAGCCCTTGAAGAGTTTACATTACACATGCTTTAAAGCCAAGTGTATATCATGTTGACGCTGAATGGTGTTGTTTCCATCTGTATGATACACTCAGGGCCAGGATGGAGAGTCTGTGTTGGAGAATCAGTGTTGGATCCTTTGAAATGAAAACAGGCTCCAAAGTAAAGCCGTATCAGTCAAGGATGAAAAGGGTTATTGTGAAAAATCAGAAGAAAAGCTTTTTAGAGTCTTTTCTAAATGTGCCCTTCTAAACTGTGCTACCACTGCGTATCTACAGTGAAGCCAAACATTTTAAAATATCTTCAGGTTTTGGCTCTTTTCACAAATGTTTGCAGCATCACCTATGTTCCAGCATTTCACGCTCCAAGGTCTGGGTGTCACAGTGAGGCCCCTGGTATCTTCCAAATAACTCCAGAGTTGGTTGTGTATCTCTGGAACATGGAGCAGGGTTGTGCATCAAAGGAGATGCTGCAGTGGACTTTGAAATGTGCACAAGTCGCCGCCCTTGATCTTGTTTCGTTGTTAACAAACTCGTGTGATTGATGGCGCTTTAACATGTGGCTGTGGGGTGCATGTTTCTGGTTTATCTCTAGTTTAATTATACCTTCCTTATCTTATTTGTACCTTAGGTAGATGGATCACTACGATGAATCAACTGCAGGAAATTCATCCAGTAAATCCCCTCCCTGGATGTTCAGACTACAAGGTTGTATTTTACACATGGTTAAGCCTCACATTAACCTATACCAGCCTGAAAATATTACTGTAGATTAAAACTTCAGAGTTTGACACCGAACAAGCAGAGTTCGTGATTGAGGTTGATTCCTTTGCTTGTAATTTTTGTCCCATGACCTTTTTTGTGCTTTTTTGCTCATGTAAAAAAAAAAGATTTTTCTGCTGAATTAATACCACTGCATTAGAGATAATAGTGCAGCATATATTCACTGTGTTGGAACAATAACACTGAGCAGTTTACAGTCATGTGGTTTTAAAGTGCGAGACAAATGGGATACGCCTTATCCTTTAAATCTAATACATTACTCAAGACTGGGAGGCAGAACCCTAAACTACCGAGCCGAAGGTAACAGACGTGAGAAATAGTACTCACTGCTAAAATGTATTTCACAGTTTATTCTATAAGCAAAGCTCTCCAGACCATATCTGCACCAGGCAGCAAAGCTGTAAAATGGCCCCTTAAAATACTGCCTTTAAAAAGATGCCATCTAAGAGCTGATAAGAGCTACAAGCATTGGACTGGATCAATTGTGCAATAGGAAGAGCACTCAGTCATGGGTACTGTTTAATTAATGATGGGGGATAGAGATAGGCTGTTAGCTCCATATTGTCAGTCAAACACTCACAGCAGAGGGTGGCAATATGAGCTATGCAACTGATACGTGAAACACAAGGAACTAATCCATACTCTCCAGTCTAGTACCATTAATGCTTGGTTAGGAGGGCAGGGAGCAGCTGCATGACACACATACACTTTTGGTATCTTCTCTAAGTGCAGAGGACAGAATGCAACTTATCACGTGTGCGCTGATTTTACATTTCATAAATTAGGATTGTAAGCATTAGTATCTGCCTTTCTGGCTAGGAGATGATGAACAATTAAGTAGACTGAAAAATCCTTGCTTTCATTCTTGATATGCTAATTAATAACCCTGATGGAAAGAAATAATACAACTCTAAAACAACGCTCTATTTCAAGTACCTCATATCAGCATGTTCACATTTACTACAACCTAGTTACATCTCTTTTATGTCTGTAAAGCTCGTCTTTGTCCCTCGTTTCTAAATGTCAGGATTCAAAGACCTTGAGAGAAGTACTTCAACCAAATATAATTTAATGCGCCATCTTCTATACATGGGAAAACAAAAGCAAAAACAGAGCAAATAGTCTCTGGATTTTAAACACAAACCTTTTTTTAATCTGACTTTGAGGCTCAATGAGGAAGTAAAGTGGCCTATTGATTAGAGAGGCCTTTATGGATCTGAGGCCAATTGTTATCATCAATAGACACTTGTCCTGTCAAAAATCTGTGGGTCCAGCACTAAGATCTTCCTGTCACACTTGCATGAATAAAAGTCAGTGTCTGGTGGGCAGATAAATCGCAACACCTGATTCACTGAACAAAGACAATTGAAAAAGTGTCACATGGTAACACAAAAGGGCCGCACTAATTGATTAATTGGCCTAACATATCTCCGATAAAGATAAGCCCTGAGGTGCCTTCCTTTTCTCAAGGTTAGATTGATCAATTGTTACAAAGCTAAACCATGATAAAAATGATGTAAAAAAAATCCCTGAGAACTTCAGAAAATAAAAAGATAACAGAAATGTCGACTTCCCCTCCAGATCCTAGCCTATCATGAGCCACCATTAAATTTCAGTATTGGTGGTTAGACACTCACTAGCAATTCAGGCCAATCAATCCAAGCACCTGGATTATCAAACAACTGTTTCTTTTATAAGGCTGAATGTGATTTCAGATTTCCAATGGTCAATAGTCAAGTAAAAACTATTTTTCAGATCCCCTGTTATTCTGAAGGACTTGACACTTTTCAGTCATATTTGAAGAGTACATGGTTCCTATGTGAATGTTTGAAAAGAAAACATCCATCCAAGTAGTAACACTATGCTTGTATTAGATGCAACCTGACTTTTTGTTATTTTGATACTTTTTCAGCTAGCTTTGCAGTATCAGGTTAGCTAGCAAACAAAAAAGTGGTTTGCTAAGAGTGGGGCGTAGAGAGCTCTGTTTACATTCTTTTTCGCCAGTTAGGCTAAGTTATGATTACTAACCTCATGGTCACAGCTAACTACAATTTTCAAGTAATTCAAATGGCATCAACACTCACACAATGTTATTTTAGTGGTTGCAACCACCATACTGAGCAAAAGGAAAATATGTTGTGTTAAACTTTTTACATTAAGGATCGCTGAGGTATTAGGGCCGATACATGGATGATTGTCAAAGTGCTGATTTGAATTAATCAAGCACCAACAATTAACTAATTTTATGTACCATCACAAATGGCAGCTAGCTTGCGTGTTGTTGCTGTTATTGATCATTTTTCAAGGCAGACAGTTCATTAAATAACTTTTATTTAGCTCATTCAAAGAGAATATACACTTTAGTGCAATAATTTTCAAATTACGCTCAGATGTAGTTACACTGTACAACCACCAGGGGAGCAGGAGCGCATCAAGTTTTCACCTGACGGTAATGTCGCGTTCCAGTTATTTCCAAGATGGACGCCTACTTTTGACCGTTGTTAGCTGTTGTTAACCATTGTCAACTGTCGTTAGCCGTTGTTAGCTACACCGGTCGTAAACATCGCATAACACAATATTTTACTTTTACAAACACCACAGCACCGTGTCTGTAGTTAGACGTTGGGCAGTACAACTTGTTTAGTTTCACTAAAACAAAACTGAAGTGCTAATAAACAATACATTACGAGAGCTTTCACAGTTACTATTTACTGTCGATGCACTGCGCCGCCATCTTGGAAAGGTGAAAAGAAATACGCACCGGACTGCAAGGAGTGGAAAGGTTCCGTTTATGAGGTAAAATGTTGATAATTTTACATTTTAGTAATCTGTTCGATCACTATTGAGCTAAGTTGGAGTTCACTTAACACTTGACCACTTGTTTAGTGTTTATAGACCTCTTAAGATCCGACATTTATGCTAACGCTATCAAGTGTTAGCTAATGAGATGCGTGTATAAGCTAATATTGTAGTAGTAGTTTGGTATCAATAAACACCAAGGAAATGTTAAGTATATCTGTTAAGTATATTATCGCAATAGTTTTAATAAAAAATGCTTTAATGGAAAAAAGTAATCCACCTTCGTCAATTTCGTCACATTTTATTGGGGGAGGAGGGTCAAACAATCAATTCAAGCCTGCACAGAGCAATAATATATATTGTTATTAATCCTCTCAGTGGATAGAATATTAATTTTCAAGGAGGGGAACACGAGCAGAAGAAAAAATCGACCAGATTTCATCCCTGCTCTGCTAGAAATTGATGCGATGCCACTCCTTGAGACTAGCTGAGAGCTGAGAGCCACTTTTTTTTCTCCCCTGAGCGTCAGTGGGCTGGATGCTGCGCTGCAGAGAGAGAGCCTCAGCCGGCTGCAGCGGTGAGGCTGTCAGACTGAGAAGAGGGGACCAGACCTCCGTCCACCACCACGACGCACGGCAGCGGCACACAGCTCCCTGAAGTGGGAGGAAAAGGTTTGGCGCCTGAAGGGAGGAGACGAGACGCTGGATACGGGGAGAAATCCTAACTGCCTATTACATGTTTCTTTTTCCAAGAGGATGTACTGTTTACGCTGGCTAACCAGATAAAGCGGCTGAGACGGGGACTTGATATTCCTGACACCGCTGCTATTCCGCCTTTTGGGTCTGGAAAGAGATACGGAGGTGGGGACATCGGGCATCATCTCGGAGAGAAGGAGAAAAGTACAGCGAAGGACAACTTTTTGGATTATTGTAAGTAAACCCTTTTACTCAATCGTTAAGCATTGTTTCTGCTTGGGCTGTAATGTCGCGGCAGTTGTATGTCTGGACGCATGTTGTTTCAGGAGTTCTGCTGGAGAGAGAAATCCGGATCAAACCCACCTTCACACAGCTCAACAGTTTTAGATTTCTCCTACCTAGTCTTCAGACTACATTATCAATCCCTCTGCTCCTCTGTCTTGGTTATTGTTTCACCAACTTCTGCCTTATTCTAAAGAGTGAAATGAGTCTGGAGTAAGCTTGAGGGTTGTGGAGCTGTTGAGTGCCAGTATGCAAAAACACTGTAAAGTGTCATGAAATGAGATTAATTATGCCTGAGGGAAGTTCAGATCTTTTCAGATATGAGCTGATCTAGCAGTCTTAAAAAGAAGACAGATGCTTTGAAATGTATTTACAGTGAAGTGGGTTTGAGGCGCTGCTCCTTTTGATAGGAGCTCAAAGAGACCCAGGGAAATATTTAGTGAGAGAAGGAGAGCTCTCCTGCAGGGGAAGAGGCAGGTCCCTTTTTGTTTGGGAGTGCATCTGTAGGTTAGCAGAGAGGGGGCTTCTAACACAACACTTACCACACAAGTAGACCCACAGGAATTATCCAATCACACATATGCAAATTTCCCAAACTCTAATTCTGCAGCTTCGCCGCGGTTGAATGTTTAGTTTAATGCTATCATCTGACTCTGCTTGTGTCATTGAGGTTGTTGTGCATTGTGGCTCTGAGCTCACTGTCTCCTGTCTGATCTTATTGATTTGGCATAGAAAGAGCTGCATCTGGAGGAATAAGGAGAGCAGACGTAAGGAATATTATTTCTAGAAAATCTTGAAGTTGGTGCGACTTTCTTTTCAATGACAGCAATTAGCTAGGTGATGGCAGAAGAAAGAAAGTCTTTGAGAGGAAAAAATCAGCCTCTGAAGTGTTTCTACTGTCAGAAAATTTCACTGCTGCTTTGGCTTAAAAAAACCAATCTTGTGCATTTCATTCAGAGACATCAAAAACAGAATCATGTCATTGTAAAGCCAGCGTCACTCATGGTACTACAATATTTAAGACTCCTGAAGATTTCAAGCACAAATTGGAAATTTCCTGCTTCTTGTTGTCCACTTGTGTTTTTGTCTTTTTAATTCCTAAAAAGTACAGAAGATGTGTCTCCTACCCTTTATCATGGGACACTCTGTTTTCATATGGCACCTATTTGTTTTCTTAAACCGCCATGATAACAAGAAATTGCGCCAAGTTGAATTATAGAGCATAGACGTGATGAGACTGAAAAAAAGTTTCATCTCTCTTGGAAAAAATGGATAGTAATAAATGAAGTACGTGTGAGTAATTTCCTGTATAAAATAAATAGACATGAGCTCTGCTATATGATGAGACACTCAGCTTTCCTGTGATACACGCAGAGAGATCTGACCCCAGGTTGAGTTATTCACTATATGGTGTGTGTAAGTGAGAGTGGGATATGCACAGAGAGAGAAAAAAAGCCTACTTAGTCATTTTTTTGCTTCAAGCACTATTCTATTCACATTCTTTTGAAGGACCGTGAGTTAAGTACATCTATTTTCAACAGTTATGTCACTTTTACTCTACTGTAGTTATGCTGAGGTACAGTACAGTACATGTGACGAAGATCCTCTGAACATAGAAGCAGTCGGTGTTAAAATCTGCAGCAGTTTAGAAAAGTTTGAGGGGGTCAGCAAAATCATTTGGCATCAGGAGTTGGACTCAAACAAACTTGAAAGACGCTCGTGGTTGCTGAATGTGGTCAAGCTGAGTAGGATGAAGGTAAAGATAAAAAGTTATTGAACAAGAGACAAAACATCAACATCAACAACGTGGATGGAGATGGTTTGGCTTCGGAAAGACACATGTTGCTTTAAAGATGGCAGTCTGCAGGCTATGTTATAAAAAGCTGATGCTGTTATTAACTTGATTCACAATCGGGCGCAGAATAACAAAGTAAGTAAAGCTTCATAAGTCAGCGGTCAACCACAACTGACCAACTGAGGCACCAAAATCAAACGAAAACACACTCAGCAAACTTTCAAGAGATTTAAGTCAGTAATTAAGATCTTCTTTTCTTCATATCATTTACAACATCTAATATACCATCAACAAGAGAAGGCCAGTGCAATACAAGAAAATATTTTTGTTATTTGACACATTTTTGAGGGATGCAAAATATCTACAGTTATCAATTTTTGCGACATCTCCCCAAAAATCAAGATACTAGCTTATCAGTGACCACCAATACTAAACACAACAACTGTAATATGTTTCCCTATCTAACCAGCATGCTTGTAAATCAGACCCTTAACCATGAGACCTGCAATTTCGCCCGATGCTGCATGGTCCTCTGTTAGAGTCATACAGTGTCCATTTAGAGTTAATGATGGAAGCCTAACTTGAAGGCACGCTTGTGATTTCAAATGGGCCATAATCGGCCCTAATGTTAATCTAGATATATATTTCATGAGACCCCCTAAACGATTGTCGTATCAGCCCACTCCACCGCTTAGTTTAATTTCCTGCGATGGTTTGAAAATGGTTCATCTCACAGAGGGATGCACAGTCAGAGTCACCAGACACAGGCCTAATCAAAAGGAGCTTCACCTCCACATCAGGGGAATAGATGGAGGGAAGGAACAGCTGTGCCTGTTTCTCTTGGCACAAATTAGAGGTTACCCATTTCCTTATCCCGTGTAAATCACTTATTTGCTTGCAATACATGCTTCAAAATATTTGTATATCCACTTGGGGGCAGGTGTAAGAAGAAATGCAAATTAGTAGATTGGCTAACCTTGATGGTGATGAAATATGTCTGAAAGTCACAGCTGTCCCATCTTCTTAAAGGAAATAGTTATTGACAGAGGGAAGAGACAAGCATTTAGGGTATGGCTAATTGAAAATGACAACTCTGGTGAAGGCGAGCCCTTGGGACGTTTGAAAAAAATGCATAGCAGCAGTGACAACAGAGAGGCCGGGGATAGAAACTGTCTCTGCAAGACAATGGCACCCAAGGGAGTCCTATTTCCACCGACAAATCTGAGATTAATAATGTAAAAAAAAGGACAAAATGTCGTGCAGATCACGATTTGTCTTCTAATGTCTCTGTGGTCTCTGTGTTTTTTTTCATAGGTTGTGAGCAGAGCTATTCAAAGTCAGGGATGTGGTATCACACTGTGCAGGGTGTATAGCATATGAAGCACTTTGTGTTTTTCTTTTTCTTTTTTTCCTCTGTCGAGTGACAAAAAGGAAAACTGTGTGAGGAAACAGCCGGGCATCTCGAAATCTCCAAACAGCATGTTTTTCACTGTCCGAAGAATACAAGGGTGTAATTTTGTTCTCGTAGCACAACAGTGACTAAGAATGCGAGGCCCGAGCATGTGTCCCTGCCGTGATTGGAGATGACGTGCATTTGTTAGATTAAAGAAAGTCTTGGTAGAGAAATGTGGGTGATCTTGACAGTGGCGAGCCCCGTCCTTGGCTGCCTTCCTATCTCGCACTTTGTTTGTGAGGAAAGCCCGCTGGTCTATCGGAGCCTGGAAGACAAACGTCCCTCAGGACTCATCTGACAACTTAATTTATATAATTGCTTGGAAGCATCTGGGTAAGAAAGACTGACTCTCGGCACCCTCCTCCACTTGTCACTGTTATGAATGACTCGGATTTGACGTCCAATGAGTCAAACAGACAGTTTTAAGTCACACAGATGTTGTCATGCTAAAGCATATGTGAACTACAAAATTAACACTGGTGCTAATGTGATTACAGTGAAGCATCCGCGCGCTATAGAGAACAGTGCGAGTGTGGGATCTTTGTCGCTGCGCTGTCAAGTGTCTCCTGTGATGCAGCCGGCAGATTGTACAATAATGTATGCACCATGACAAATGTGAACACATGTGAAGCACTAATGTAATTAACATGAGTGACACCACAGTGCCTTTCGCTCTTGGTTTCTCTGCAGCTTTTACTTCCTCTGGTGGTTGAAAATGGCTAAAATTACAAGTTTGGCTTAGATAACACGTCCCACAGCCTGGAGTCGGTTAGTTATGCAGCCTCTTTATCTGTTTGTCTTTGTGCTGCTGTCCTCATTATGTTAACCCTCTCTAAATCACCTGCAGATACCCGCAGGTTGCCACAGCTCAGACGGGTGGCTGTGAAATGTCAGAGGTTAGTCATTGTGTGTCTTAAGCCGGGCTTTTGAGTTGAATTTTAAGTAAGAAAAGCAGAGACACCTGCTGATTTCGGTGGTTTCTTGAAACAAAGCAAACCTGAGCTTCGAGGTGATATTATAATCTGAACGGTGGCGCTTGTCTCTGCTTTAGTCACACAGGATTTCCTCTTCACTTACATCACTCATGTGCTGAAATAGGTGCCAGTAGGTCTGATGTGTCTTTGAAAATAGTTTGTCAGTGAAGTGAACATCAAGTATTTGTAGAGATGGTGCAGAGAGAGGAGTGATGATGGTGATGGTGGGGAATGGCCCGGGGATGGAGTGTTTTTCAGTAGGCAGCTCCTGATTTTATGTGACAGTAAAGGGCCTTATCTTCCAGGGCCATGATGAAGCACAACACTCTTTGATTTTTTATCTTCCAAACGTCTAACAATCTCATGCTCGAGACAGATTAGTGGGAAGAAGGTGTAAAAAACGGGCTTTGCCATTCCAGGGGAGTCAAATAGAGTCGAGCACAGGGTCTGAGGCGGTATCTGCATCATGCTGATAGTACAAAACCCAAGATTAGCTGAAATTATTGCGCTTCTTCTGACCCTCTGGGTCATCCGAGTCAACAAAGAAGATTCGTCTTCTGGCGTGACTTGATGACTTGTGCATTAGTAAACAATACCATGTTGAGCAAACAGTGAATGAGGGTAAAAGGGGATGATCTGCATGGTAGGAGAATTGTAATGCAGCATTGAGTTGGTATGAAA